CATCCAGCACCCCCGTCAACGCCCCCCCCCCACTGCTCCCTGGTTCAAAGGCTCCTTGTGATTAGAGAAACAACCCTGGAATTTGGCATCTCGCTGTCCTGCTTTAATGGTCCCTGGGCACGGCGCTGAGTTCAGGCTGCAAAAACACCGTTTGTTTACTTGGGACGGGGACAGCAAGGAGCGTCAGCAGCTGAGCACCGGTAGTGGCCCGGCTCCAACCGATCGTGCTGGGGATGGGGGGGTTTAATGGGCTGCTTTGATCCTGGATAAAAAAAGCCTATTTTGGTGGGTCGTGAATGGCTTTAAGGTGACAAATGTGTTATAAAATTCAGGGTATTCTCCAAAGGTGCCGCGTGGTCAGGCTGTTCCCACAGCTCTTCGCTTTCGGGGGCCGTGGGTTGGGGACCGCGAGGGTCGTACAAAAGGCCGCTCTCTCCTCCTCTCGCAGGCCATCAGCATCAGCAAAGCCATAAATACCCAAGAAGCACCGGTGAAGGAGAAGCATGCCCGTCGTATCCTTTCCCTTGGCTCGCCTGGTCAGTGTGGAGGAGATCCAGCGCTGAGGCAGGAGGGGTTTCACCCTGTGGGGCTGGAGCCACGGGAGTTTTGGGAGACGGGAGACCCGTGCAAAGCTTGGTTGGGGGATGGCATCATGTAGGGTCATCAGCCATAAATACCCAAGAAGCACCGGTGAAGGAGAAGCATGCCCGTCGTATCCTTTCCCTTGGCTCGCCTGGTCAGTGTGGAGGAGATCCAGCGCTGAGGCAGGAGGGGTTTCACCCTGTGGGGCTGGAGCCACGGGAGTTTTGGGAGACGGGAGACCCGTGCAAAGCTTGGTTGGGGGATGGCATCATGTAGGGTCATCCCTCAGTGAAAATGCAAAGGGCAGTGGAATAAAATTGCATTTCTTTGGCAATAAAATGCAAAGGGCCCCGGTGTGCCCTGCAGCAGGGGAAGGTGCATCAGGAAAAAAAGAAATGGGGGTTTTATCTGCGGGTGCAGCATCACACCGCTGATCTCTGTGCCTGTGGTACGCTCGGTGCGTGTCCCCTTTTTAATGAAAGCTGAACAGGAATAGTCCCCAGCCCCACCTGTCCCCTGCTCCGGTGTGTGTCAGGTTGGCCTTGACCGCAGGGAAGGGATCATCCTGGGGACGCACCACGAGAAGGGAGCGTTCACCTTCTGGTCCTACGCCATCGGGCTGCCCCTGCCCAGCAGTGCCATCCTCAGCTGGAAGTTCTGCCACGTCCTGCACAAGGTCCTGCGTGACGGCCACCCCAACGTGAGTGTCCCCTCTGAAACATCCCTCCCGCATTGCCACCGGGGGGAATTTTTGGTTCTTGCCGATGTCCCTCTGCGCAGAGGGTGGGTTTCCTTCCCTGCCCCGGCCACCTTTCCCAGGCCGTGGGGCTGTGAAGCACTCTGTTGTCTCACATTTTTGAAACCTCCCTGTGCAAAGCCCCAACCTCTGGTTGCCATTGAAGGTCTTGAACTTCAAAGCTGGAGTGGCGTAAGGGGCTGGATCCATCCCCTTCCTCAGCTTCAGGGCAGGCAGGTGGGCGCTCGCCCAGCTCCGTGCCAGCCCCACCATGCCTCATCCCTCCTGTTTTTGTCGCCAGGTCCTCCAGGACTGCCAGAGGTACCGCAGCAACATCCGAGAGACGGGGGACCTGTGGGTGAGTGGGGCGAAGCGGAGGATGGTGCCTTCCTAGGGCCTTTGGGGTGGGTGCTGAAAGGCATCGTGGGCACGGGGAGGACAAAGCACCGCCTGAAATAACCCATTGCCCCTGACTCGGCTGGGTGATGGCTACCCACACGGTGAAGGGCAAGAGGGTGAGAGCCACAGGGCTGGCGTGGGTTCGCCAGCATGCACGGGCTCTGCCAGATCCTGTTGCATCCCTCTGGATTTGCCACCTTTCCCCTTGTGTCTCTGGCAGGGCCATTTGCACGACAGGTATGGGCAGCTGGTGAGCATCTACACGCGGCTCCTCCTCACCAAGATCTCCTTCCACATCAAGGTGAGAGACTCTGCTGCCTCCGCACCCTGCCGTGCCGGCGTACGGGGCTTCACCAGGGGTTGTGTCGCACCAGCAAAAATAATAGCAGCAACTGCTGGTTTGTTTTTTTTTTTTTCCTTTTACAAAGCATCCCGAGTTTCCCCCAGGCCTCGAAGTGTCGGATGAGGTGCTGGAAAAGACCGCGGGGACGGACGTGAACAACATGTGAGTGTCCTGGCAGGAGCAAAGCAACCAGCGCGTGGTCGCCGGCTCTGTGCCACCTTGCTGGCAGCATCCTGCTAACGGAACAGCTCCTGTTCAGGGCAGCCATCGGTGTTTTATAAATCGGTTGGATGGTGCCCAATTCGTCCTGCACCCACAGAGTGGTGAGGAGTGTAAATGCAGGGAACAAACCCACCAAATTCTTGTCAGTCTGAGCCCTTGCTGGCATGGGGACCTGCAGCAAACATGAGCAGCCAGAGCAAGGATGTCTGTGCCACCCAGTGACAGGGTTTTGGTTTTTTTGGCAGCTTCCAGCTGACGGTTGAGCTGTTTGACTACCTGGACTGCGAGCTGAAGCTGTCGGAGTCAGGTGAGGAGGCGGCAGGTCCCTCCCGCTCGCCCCGGGGCTCTTGAGCAATAGTTTTGCTCTTTGGTCAGGAACGGAGTTCCGGCTCTGGAGGCTGAGGTTGGAGGCTCAGGTCTTTCTCCTCAGATGAGATTTCTGAGGTCATTTCTCAGCCGGATTCCCCTGTTGATGCTCTGTAGAGGCGATTGTAGGAAAATATTTCAGGAACGTGGCTGGTTTTAGCCCACCTGAGCAATGAAGAGTGGTGTTTTCAGAGCGGTGCTGCTCTGAAATAAGTTTTTATTTCTTTTTGGTACAACCATATTAATCATATGTGTTACCCAAATCCTTTCTATCCCCACGAAGCAGAGGATGGGGCTGTACCTCTTTCTAAATACTCATTTGCCCTCATTGAAGTACCTCCGGGGAGGGCTGGAGGCCCCTGCCCGTGTTTGCTTCTCTCACCTCCTTCTCCAGGAATTTTTAGATGGCTTAAAAATGCAGCGGTTTCTTCCCCTGTCGTGAGTCAGAAACACAGAGCTGCCCTGGAAAACAGGGCACAGCGGGAGAGACTGTGCTCCCGGCTCCCATCAGCCTCCCGCTTCTCCTCCTGACCCAGTTATACAGAGAATTTATATTCATAAATACTTTAAAGCTGAGCGGGGAAGAAGGCAGGGTGGATATGCTGGCTGGATTTCTGCCAAGGGAAGGGATCTGTTTCCGAGCCGGGGCAGGCAAGGCTGCGGTGCCGGCGGGCCTGTCCCCTGCCCTGGGATCCTCTCCCAGCTCCTTCCACAATTAAATAGAGCAGAGCAAAATCCCTCGCCTTCCCCGGCTGCATCGTGCAGCAGCAGCTCCCGAGGGCAGCTGACCTGCCTTCACATCATCCTGGGGTTAAATCCCTCCTTTTTGGGGTCGGGGTATCCAGGGCAGAGCGGAGCACCCCCTCCCTCTGCCACCACAGCGTCTTTGGGTGCTTTTCTTGCATGGAGGGGAGTTGCTCCCAGATTGGTGGGACAGGATGGGCAGCAACCCCGGCATTTACCCTGTGTCCTGGCAAAGCCACGTCCGTCGTGGTTAATAATTAAGCCACGTTGCCTGGAGCAGGACGGCTCTGCAAACACGGTGCCGGTGCCTCACCATGCTCAACCCTTCAGTTTTCAGGCAGCTCAACACCTCGATGGCGGTCTCACAGATGTCGGCGGTGCAGTGCCGCCTGGCCCCCCTCATCCAGGTCATCCAGGACTGCAGCCACCTCTACCATTACGCCGTCAAGTTAATGTTCAAGCTGCACTCCTGTGAGTCCCTGGGGGTGTGCCCCATGCCGGTCGTTTCCCGGGTCAGGCTTCTGGCTGGATTCTCGGGGATCGGGCTTGCGTGGATGGCGGCGTCCGTCGCCATGTCCCTGTATCCCAGCCGGGCTCTAAGGACCCGCTCCATCCCGCGTAGACATCCCAGATGAAGGAATTAGAAGGACTTGTCCTTGATGAATTCAAACCGATGTGCCTTGGCCCGCCAGCCCCCGGCGCCAGGGCCCTCGTGCGGGTATTTCGGGGTTCTCACACCTGCCTCTCGCTGCGCTGCGTCCCTGGTCCCTCTG